GCATATAGGAGTCACAGTGGCAAGAGTATCATTACAATTTCATTATATAAAATAACTTTCTCCTGAGAGAAAAAAAGTCATCTTTCAACTAGTCTTATTTATGTAGGTTTGCATGAAAGTATGAATTCATACAAAGCTTTACACTTCTGTCAATTATTATTCCTTCATCTTTAAGTGCAGATTTGTCTTCTACATAGACGTTACCTCCTGATATTTTCTCCTCTTGGAGAGGTATTAGTGTGACAAAAGTAGCTGTTAGAAGTACACATATGTGCTAAGCAATACACTCTGAAAAACTAAGTATTTGACATTGTATTTCTATGATTGCTTAGTTTTTTACTCTCATTTCCTTCACCCTTACAAGTGTTTTTGTTACAGTCCTGTATATACTTTTGGTTCCTCATTATTAATTATGTCTTAAATCTCTCTTGCTCTATTAGGAACAGTTCTTATTCAGGACATTAAATAAGACTGAATAACTTTAGGGCTTATAGAAAATATGAATCCTGACATGACAGATATGAACTTATCCAGATTTTTAAAAAAAAATACTTTTGGGAGATGTGTTCACAATACAGTGGCATTCAAGCTATCAAAACATCAACTGAAAAGACAGTGAACGGAATATTCAATAACTTTCTTCAATAACAAAAGTAATAAAAAGAAGATATTGTTGACAGGAAACCATTTTAGAAAGTAATACTGTCCTCTGCAAGCTGAATGCTATATTTATGTATTTCTCTCTTCATTGAGTACAATTTCCTGCCACTAAGTAACTGAACTTAATTTCTCAATGTCAAACCACTCTGCTGATCCCTGCTTCCATGCCAGTTTTCAATGCAAGCTATTTATTTTGTGGATAGTGTGTTCAATATTTTACCAGAAGGGCAATATATGCAATAGTTTTCTTTCTTGCCAAATAAAAGGTAATTACAATAAAAGTAACTATTGTTCTGTTTATTCAACATCCAGGAAATGACTTCAATATTATGGGAAATTACTTCTTTAAAATTCTTGCCCTGTTTCTTTCACATACTTTAGGTGAGACAGTAAAAATCAGTATTGCTCTTCACCTGCCAATCTCTTTTGGCTAGTAACCATTACTTCAAGAAATCTGTGTCCCTCTGCTAATTTTTAAGTATAAGTATGCTGAAGTTCGCATATAATGATTGTTCTAATGTGACAAAGTCTCTACAAACTGCTCTGAGGTCCATACAACCAAGCTAATGTTCAAAGACTGTATGAGTTTTGGCTCCTTTCCCTTCCCCAAACAAGTCTAATAAAGTAATTCCATGACAAGAGATCTTAGCTAGAAATCAGTAAAATCTTCAAGATTTTAGCATAGAAGAATAAAAGCTTTTAAGTCACTTATTCTGACTACTGACTTGTTATATTTCTCCTTATGTATCAAGCAAAGCACCTAAGATCTAAAAATCTCTAAACAAGCACTATCAGAATTTTACATTGTGAGATATGACGTGAGATCCTACCCTCGCAGTCATTCAGATTTTCCATTTGTTCTCGTGTAGATTTGCACTAGTATTCCCTAATTGTGGGATTTTGGGGACCTAGTGAAATGCCCAAAGTATTTAAAAGAAGTTTTCCTTCATAAGGACATTCAGCTTGGGGGACTGCACCTGAACCCAAATTGTATTCAGTAATTGTAGCAAATTCCCTCCAAGCTTTACACCTGTAGCAGATGGAAGCAGACTGCATGAGGAGATCAACCCTTTCAAATTACAATAGTTTATGATGCTCATCTGCATTTTAATCAGATATAAAGGATTTATTCCTGAAATACATCAAGGAAGACTATTTTCACCTCCTGGAAGTGCATCAGAGAGTTTATAGCCAATCAAGCAAAATATGTTGCACATTTTCACTTTGTATATATTTCTCTCTAGAGTTTGCAATATTAAATGGATATAGGTGTCGGTGATTTTATTAGCAGCTATATATAATCCTATCAAAATAGGAAGCAGAAAGCAATTTTTCGTGCCAAACCCACTTTATTATAGATTTAATTCCTGGGCTCAAGAAAAAGATGAATTTGTGATCTCATCACATAATGTTATTTTATTCAAAATGCAGTGCAATACAATATCAGCAGATAAAACAAATAGCATGTAGTTAGAGACTAGGAAAGCTGCATGATTTGAGGGTATAGAGAATGTAAACATGTATTGTCATATTTTTTTCTTGTAGCCAGAGAGGACATGAATTGGAATTTAGTTTTGTCCTGCACAAACGTAGAATAGCAAAATTCACCATCTGAAAAAATATATCCCATATTCCTGACAAATAAGTAAAAGATTGAATTGCCAAAACATTGCCAAGCTGATAATTATCTCAGGAAAATTATTTTCTCAATTGAGTTACAGTCACCATTTTTTTCTATTCACAGACTACTGGTAAATTAAGAGTAAAAGAAATTCAGTGGCCTAGAGATCACTGCATAACAGCTAATTGCTAACAGTGATCTTATGAGTTAACTATTGAGGAAACAAATTGTACTAAAAATACTAAGAAACTATTTGTAAACCACATAAATTGAAGAATAAACTGCTATTAATGGGCAACAGAGATTTTGCAAAGGGAGTGTAGAATAGAAATACATCTCCATCACCTCATAAAAAAAAATATCTGTTAATGCAGGCAGGAACGCTTATGATCATTATTATTACTGACACTAAATAAATGCTTAGGTCTTGACTAGTACTTACCTTTTCTTCATAGGGCAAATTATTTTTCAAGTTTTGAGTTGCTCTGTCTATTTATCTGGAGCATAATGGTCATCATGGCACAGGAGTCTTACTAGCTCATAACCTGAGTTTTGACAAGGGCTATTAATATGTACTTCAAAAAGATACAACACAGTAGTGCAATTATTAATTGATAATAATTAGGAAGAAAAAACATAGCATCATAATATTAGATCTATTGTTTCAATTTTTTAAATAGTTTGGTAAGGCAGAGATGACACTTTTTTTCTCTAGGGACTACTAAGGCCAATTTCTTGATTTGCACACTAACATTAGTTCTAGATTTGAATCTTTCATTTTTAAGATTTTTACCGTGCTTATGAGAAGGAGGCCTTTTGATCCCTCACTATCCAGGGTAAGTACGAACCTTGTTTCCACAAAGCACATTGCAGTTTGTCAGACAGCAATATATTATTTTTTAGTACTGACACCTATTATGGACTGAGTGAATATATTAGTTGCGTAGTAATTAATTTCTGTTCCATTGAACTACGCAAGTTTTATCCTTGATTGCTTAAAACATTGTGCCTATTTTTCTTCATTATAACTGGATATAATTAGATATCAAATCATGAGTAGAAACTCTTAAGATTCTTGTCAAGATAAAAGTAATAGAAAATCCACTTAGCATCTTTTTTCAGTTAAGTGCACTATACCTGCTTGGAATAGATGCATCCTATTTCCAGAGTTACTTATTCTCCAGATCTGTATGTTTTCATAATGTTGACTATCCTTTCTTATATTAACCTATTGTGTAAATATAATGGCAGGATACTGGTATGTTGGAAAAGGGAACACATGAATGACAGTTTTATAGCTATAAGTCATGATATGAGAGTGACTACTTTCCTGGAAAAAGTAAAGTTTCAACAATTGATTTTAACAGTGTTATGAATTGAAATTGGATTTTTCTGTGTCAATAAGGAAAAGAACTGACAGGAGAGATTGAGTCAGATATGGTGCGAGGCTAAGGCTTGAAGAGAAGGTAACAGGAAAGTAAAAAGAGTAAAACATATCTCCGATATCACTGTGTGCTAGTGGAAAAAGTCATTGAAGCAAGATTTTATTATTAATGCTATAACAAAGTCAATTTAAATGAAAAGAGCAGATGGAGAGTGTGTATAATGTTGATACAGCATTTCAGAAAAAATACATTTGTTTCAGAACAATCTGATAAAATTGTAGACAAATAACAGCTGATAGTTCAGAAAAGGTATTTTAAAAACACTTCCTACTTAATGAGTCACTTAACTTAATCAAGGGAGCAGTTTCTATCAGGAGGAATTGGGTCTTCTGTACAAAAATAAGAAATGTTTGAGGTGTTTTCAAACACAGACACACAATAGAGAGAAGCCTTCTTAAAATAAACAATTCTCCTTGTGAAATATTCTATACGGCTAGCCCTGAAAATTCCTCTGTCTCATCCGAAACAAAAATGGTTATTTTTAAATTATTCATGAACTTCTTTTCTCCTTGAGGCAGAATATGACCTGCAAATATGAAAAGTGACTTCCTCAGTGATAAAAGAAATGTTGATATATGTGGCATAAATGTAACTCTTCTTGATTTTTATTAATGTTTTAACTAAGTTTTTTACATAATATATAAAGTGTAAAACATGGATTACATAGATATTCTTTCCATCTAATCCATCTAATGCAAAATCCGTACTTGATGACCAGTTTTACTGACACTCACTTTGCAGAAGACATCCAGCATCACCTAAATGTTCAAGCCCTGACATGATAGATTTGGCAGACTTATGCTTATTGTATTTCACTTGATTATTTGCATGAAGGCTGTCCAGTCTTTGTTCTCTGCTTAAGAGACACAAGAATACATCAAAGAAGAGCTAAACTCACCTGATCTGTAAATCCACAGATGAGCAGGTGTCTCAGAGTTATATAAAGCACCCCACATTTCATTTTCTTTCTGTCACATCTAATATATTTGAAAACTTGAATTCTTGTTATAATGATCCAAGTCATAAAAAGAAAATCTGTTTGAATTTCAGCCTTTCCATTTCCTTTCTGTGTTTTTTTTTTTTTTACTGGCAACTTAAAAACTACCACAAACACAAAGTGAACAAAGTAATAAGTTTTAAAACAGATTCCAAAGAACCCCTGCCCCTACAGAGATCAAGTGGTTTTATACGTAATATTAATGATAATACTCATTAAATGCAGAGGTTTTCATTTTATGAAAGTGATTTGTTTCTATGTTTAAAATTTCACTCACCTTTTAACCTTGATGAATCTAACAGTCGTCAGAAGAATTACTGTGTCAAGGCTGCACAATGAAACACAAGCTACAGCTGCTTCACTAAATAAAGTCTGCAGAGAAAAATGAAATCCATATGAATTTTCGGCATACTTTTTCCCCCTCTTTTTACTAAGCAGATCACCTTTAGTATATCATTTCATTGTATACAAAATAGGAAAACTTGGTCAAATAAACAGTCTTTCTCTTAGTGCTACCAAAAGATAATCCACACATTCATTATAAGTAATTCATGTGGAGAAAAACATTTAAGAGAATAAATGGGAAACATATTCTGAAGGCATGACTGTAGAATTTATATTCCTTAAATATAGTGATTACCCTGGGAGAATTCATTTGCATACACTTCATCGTTTCAGTGGAGTAGTGACATTTTGATATGCATATAAAGATTGAAGCTGTAAAAGTGCAAGACAAAATTTTAATTATCCTTTTCCAAAACTAGAGGAGAGTAGAACTCAGTATGGTTGCATAGTCTTTTTTGTTTCTCATGTGTATGATGAAGTATTTCAGTGGTCTAGCCAACAGACATATGCATACAGTCAATTGAGAGCCATAAACCTGACTTGTAGTCATCAATTCTTTCAGCTAAGAAAAATCCCAGTGCTGTTAAAAGTGGAAGACATCATACAACTGCATTGTTTCTTTTAGGTCTAAGAAAAACAGAACAAAGCTTTCTAGACAACAAAGCATTCTAATAAGGTTAAACCAGTGGTTCTGAATACTGACCTACTTCAAATCTTCTGCAAAAACGTTTTACATGCAAAATGGTAATTTTTTCAAAATAGTAAAGAAGTCTTATTACTTATATACATTATTTATATCTTTCTTAGTAAACTGTTTTTGTTTTTGTTTTATTTCCGCAACATAAAAATAAAGTGTTGTTTGAGGAGAAAAGTACTTTCCCACAAGAAGGACTCAGATGCTAAGGAATCAAGAGGTTACAGCGTAAGCTGTTCTTAATTACTTTTCATCTGTAAGTAGTTGCCTTTCTGCTATGACATGGTGCTTAAAGCTAAAATATGTCATGTGAGTATACTGCTATAGATATCGTTATACAGATCTCATGATGCACCACAATCTTCCTTATAATAAAAATGTCCAGCACACTGTAGAGTTTGAAAACTATATTGGAAATAAGGCTTCAGAGGAAAAATGGGATTATAAAGCATTAAGATGTCATCCATGAGATGACAGCCATTCACCCAGAAATTTATTTATTTTCTATCATCTCTAATCAAGCAAAAATTTTCAGTAAGCTGAAATATTACAACTCAGGCTGATCCCAGATGATAGGATATGTGTAATTTTTATTTTCCTATTAGGAACTCTTTATGTTGTAAAACATAAACTTTCAATAGACAAAAACAGATCTCCAAATACATACCAAAATAATTTTTAAAAAGTAGAAAAGGAAAAATTCCTTTTAATAATTTCTGAAGTACTTTTATAAGCCACAAACTTACTAGCCAGACAGCAAAACAAAATCCAGTCAGAGGATGATATAAGCAACTTTACTGAATTTTGAACGTTCTAAGCTGGAGTAGGTGTCTTTACTAGACAAAGAACTTCAGGCCTTTTACTTCTTCTGTGGCATGAGCTATGTAAGTTCTTCATCCTGATCTGCTTAGCAAACCTCTTCTGAATAGCATCTCACTACTAGCACCTCACAGAGCAGGTTAGATTTCTTCGGTAGAAGTCACTCACTAAGAACGCTGACTATCACTCATCATGTAGTAAACAACTTTGGAACCAACATTCATAGGTTACATGTGACAGTCTCAGACATTATAAGTCTCTAAAGTTTTCTTGACAAAGTATACAGCACAGATAAAGATCACCAGGTAATATGATAACCATAATGTTTTATTAGCAAACTGATGTTTTTCTGGGCAAAGTACAAGAAAAATTGAATTAGTGAAAGAGAAAATAGTATGGCCAATCCCAAGAGACTATACATGTACCAGTACTGACCTAAATTTAGCCATAACAGAAAAACATCCCTTCTTTTTAAAAAAAAAGGTTTTTATTTGAGTTCAAGATTTATAAATGCAAGAAACCAAGCATTCTGCCCAGGCTGAAGGTATATTAGAATCAGAACTTGTCATGATCTTAGACTTTTCTCTCTCTTTGTATGTATATATGTAAGTATAAAAAACAGTAACAGGCCAACGTAGGTAGATTGTCTATGTGCCACTCGCACTTCTCCAACTCTGAGGAAAATAAACAATTCTATGTAGCTTGGAACAGACTACAAATCTCCCACTGAAAGAATGTACACATTGTCTTTATGAGACACTTACACACAAAAAAAGATATTAGAAGTTTCTGTCACACATAGTATGTATAATATATAAAAAAGTGAAAGAAAAGGCTCAGAATAATATCTTGAAGGAACTCAGAAATTTTAACTGATAGTCAGACTAAACAACAGTGCAAACCACCCTACCACTCTCCTGTTTCTTAGCAGTTGGATATTGTGAGGAAAGGATGAGTACACATACGGTCAGATACTATGTCGAAGAAAAGTCTGGGAATAGCTTTGTCCAACTGTATATGCTGATTGGGACTGTTTCACTGAATCTCAGGAAAGCAAAAACCAGCAAGCTGGAATGCCAAAAATCTGAAGGCATGAAGGACAGCCTCTGATCAACCGAGTTTATGAGAAAGTTTTCTTGCTACCATAGTATCACAGCTGCAATTGCGCTATCCACCATTAAGCGAGGGACTGGAAAAGAATGTAGATCTTGACAAAGAAGGTGCACCACAGGTGCAAAAAGACATTAGCCAAAATAGAAGCAACTAAACTGTCTCTGAATAACAGTTGGCAGGACAAAGTAGAGTGTATGGAAATGGGTGTATTCCGCCATAGAGAAACATGCAAGTTTAGGGAAGCACACGATTCAGCACCTACTAGTCTGTGTTCTCTTTTAAGAGATACGTAATGCCAGCAAATTAACCAGCACTGCAGGGTGGATAGTGTTAATAATGCTGTTCTTTCTCAATTTAGTAACATCTGTCTTCCAATATTAAATTTGAAAAATTTCAGTTATCCAGTACTCAATGACCATCCAAGAATGAGGTATTTGTTAATCTTCAGTCGGTATTTGGAAATGAAAAAGAAAATCAAGAACAGGGATGGCTCACAGTAACGTAGACACTTTACAAGAATTTTTGTTGTTGTTATTGTTGTTGCTATCACTGAACCTCACTCATCTGGACACCACTATACATGATTGCCAACCAGCTGGTTCAGAAATACACTGGCATATGGCACAATTATTAATACTAACCCCAAAGATACTGCAGTAAACATATTCCAAGCTTGAAAAACCATTTGGTAAATATTCATTTAACAAGTGTAAATAAATGTGTTCTATTATAAATTCCATTCTGTAAATACACATGCTTTCATTGTCAAAGCACAACTTTTTGAATGCCAAGAGTTCGCCATAGTTTTAGGAATTAAGCCTGTTATATCTATGACTTCCAGTGTTGCTCCATTAAATTTAAATGAAAAAGGAGAGTGGTAAAGTGAATATATAACAATTTTACGAACAAATCTGATGAGCATTCACACACAAAATATGACTAAGTTCTGAATTTGCGTAGCCAATTTGCAAATACAGACAGAACTCTTAACTTGGTTTTAAACATCAAGCAAAAATTAATGAAAATGTGCTCAGCAACAAAATGGTAGAGGTCATAAATTCGACACACTGATCAGAAAAGAAAAACCCCAAACTTAAACTTCAAAAATGATAATAATGTTTTTTTAGGGAAGTTAATATAAAAAAAGTTGGAACCAAAAAATAACCTTACATCATCAAATATTTCACTCCTTTTAGAGCTCCTGCTACCCTCATAAATTGGTCTTTGCAGTCTGATATGTCAGCTCTCAACTGCCTCTTATACTTAGCCCGTTCACAAATTTTATTCCAGATTTTTCACTCAGTGTTTTAAAGAAGAGAGTTCTCCCAAGCAAACAATTACATTAGAAATGCTTGTGACCCCTGAAAAGTCAGATTTAATCATTTAAAACTGTACATGAGAAGATGTATATACATAAGATATACATCTTTTACATAAGATAAAGATCTCCACATAAGGCAGTCAAAAATCACCTAAGATAAGCTTTCACTCTAGTAATACAGAAAGGACAACATTTATGGTACCTATGTTTCCAGATGTACCAAAAATACTTTAAATGAAATTTATTGTGCAATTACAAACCTCAAAGGAATTCATTATTGAAACGAAAAAAATTTGCAAAAGTACAAAACTACCAAAACAAAAAGTCAAGTGTTATTTTCTTGTGGAAGTCTTCATTACTAATTTTTGAATCACTATCACTATCATGTTGCAATCATGTTGTATTTGTTTTTATTCCTTCAGATAGAAAATAATAAAAGAAAAAAAAATCACTTCCTTTTGTATTTCTCCACATTGGCTCTGACAGCAAACTATATTCTTAGTGACATATTTGAATGTATATTCTTGTTCTAAGAGATGAGAAAAAAACAAGAAAAATACTTCAGATGGAAAACACACTTGACAATTAGACAAGTTTAAGCAAGTAGGTCCCCCTCCTGTTGATCAACCAGCAACCTCAGTGTGCAAGGAGATTATGGAAAGCTGTAATGTGAGAGGTGGAGTCTCTTTCGTTCTCTAGTGTAACCACAGAAGCTGAAAAATCCTGTTAAAGGGTTATTGTAAATGAATTTTCTGTGAGAGAAGAAAGCTGAAGGAGAATGAAAGTGTGACTGGTTGAAGAGCTGACTTTAGGGGCCCAAGCATGAAAAAGATACATTGATAACACTCCATTTTTTTTAAAGGGCATAAAGTGAAGATGAAAGCTATGGAGAAACAAACTAAGAAAATATTGAAATATTACATATATATGTGCTAATACAAGAAATTACTAGCTACCAGTAATTTCTGCTACAAGAAAGGCAAATTCAGATTTTACAGATGCTGTTTTCAGCTGTTCTGTAATAATGCAGCCAAATTAGTTTAAGAACTGTTATAGGCAAAAATTTGCATGAAGGGGGAA